CTGTTGCCTCATTGACGAGTGCTGCATTATGCAAGCTCATGCAACAACTGCGTTCTAATGTGTGCACAACAAAAATAAACAATTCTATTTACTTCATAAACAATGCATTTGCATACATATAATTCCATGACAATTTAGTCCTTGTGTGGTAATGTTTACATTTAAGTGCTGGAGTGGTCGTAGTTGTGCAGTCTAGACGCTTTTGAACGCTACCCAGAGTAAACGGTGTGACGGAAGACAGGCAATCTGAAAGCCTATCCAGTGGTGATCCTGGAACAGGTTCTTGCTGCGCTTGACATTATTGGGGGGACATGATGACATCTAGTTATGTAAATTCTAATGGGAGATGATTATATATATGGAGCACCGTGTCTTGTCTTGAATGTTTCTCAGTCTTATTTGTTTGTTCGTTGAAGAATCCACACCCAGCGTTGAATATAAGGGGGATACTACACCAGTCGGGGTTCAGAGTTATGTACATAACGTCAATTTGTTCCTGACTCTGCCTTCGTTCTTTATCATCCCGGAAACTTTGATTTGATTCAACGTTAAGAATTTCATAGGCGCGAATGCCTGTTTACGAAGTTCAGGGTAAGATGTTTTTTTTGTGCTGACGAGGAATGAATCACGAGCCTCGCCTGTTTGGTTGACATTTTTGTGCAGCTGAATAAATTTAATCTTAACATGGAAGAATAGAACAAACATCATAAGATTCATTAACTCCTTTGAAAGCTTTCATGAGGAAGATGGAAAATGGGAAGAGAAAGGTCAAGAATAATAAAATAAGTTGCAATGCTTGAGAAACTATTATGAGTTCTTATTGCTGATGGTGCTGGCCAAGTGCTTCCAGATTATACAAAAAAGTGAAATGTTGCAGCATTTGACTGCACAGGAAAAATAATTTTGCAGATATGTCCTGAACTCAGCGATGACGATTTGCACTTGGTGCGAAATCCATTCAAATCGTCAGTTAAAAAAAGTTGTTGCTTATTGTCAAGAGGATTTCCTAGAGCTGAAGAGTTCTCTAGAGGTAGAGGAATAGCCCAGGATGCGCGATTCCTTCCAAAAGAGGCAGAAAGAGCTATCCATGCTTTGCTTCAATTTGGGTCAACATATCATTGTGAGTCAGGCTTTTCAATTCTGTTTCAAGTGGCAACGAAGTAGATTGAAGGCTGAAATTGCCCTGTGATGTGGCCTTTCAAGTACTCCTCATATCCAAGAACAACAACCGCGGGCTTCTCACTGACTGATATCTTCATCTGAACCACCGCTGCAATATCCGGGCACTCTATTGAGCTTGTATTTAGTGAAGTATATGCTTCAGCCTAGTCTATAAATTAGTTATGAATATAAAACTCTAGTTTTTCAAATTTTAAAATACATCAACATTTTCAGTTGCTGTTAAATATTTAAAACTTTATTATAAAAAAGTAATCCAAGTAAATATATATGTACCAATATAGAAAAAATTCACATTTTCAAAATTATCATTTTATTTGGAGTGTATCTTTTCAATCGGACATTCTTGTAAAGGGGAGAATGACATTATGATGAAAGATGAAAAGGACACATGGGGCAAAAAAGGCCTTGAACCACTGTCTAATGACTTTGAGCAGTTACTTTGCTCAGCAACTGAACTAGGTTCTGCAAAATTTCTGATATTAAATTCAGACAGTCCGTCTCTACGTTTGAATAGTTCACCACAGAAATGATCTGTAACACATCTATAGCTAGACAACATTCGGCGCTCACATATAAGAATTTCAATATTTACAGATCATTCTGAGTCGCAGTAAAACAAAAATACAGAGAGGTACATATATATGGTTTTCAATACCTTGAGCGGTGAGTAGCCATATCAGGACGGCGTCGGAACCCTTCAAAGAGCACCAAACAGTTTCGGGGTTGTGCTGGAGATCTTTGCACACACACATACACATGGAGCAGCTTGGTATTTATAGCTGTGGAGAATCATCTGCTTGTTGTTGAGCATGTACGATGATACCATGCCCACTTGTCAGCGCTTCGTACGTCTGGCAACATTGACATGCTCCACGGAGGAGCCTAATAATACTAACGTTGGATGATATGAATTCTAATTAATAATCATTGTTATTTTACTCCCCTGGAACGAAGACGATAGATCCCTCATAGTATACACATAACAAAAAATAAATGGTTAGTCCCCAGAATGTGTACAAGTACAAGCTTACATAAGCGTGTACAAACTTGTACCACCGACTGAAGTGGTACATAATTTAGTAACAGGATCAGCCTGGCTGTGAGAGCTATGTTGTCCTTTGGGCTACGAACGCAAACAGCTTAACAGAGATTAACAGACCAGGCTCTGTTAAGGCCTGGCTGTAATAGACCAATAACTATATAAATCGTCATCAGGTGGTCTTTGCAATAATGAACAAAGTTTATATACATACATACATAATATATATTGAACAAAATGTACTAGAGTTACAAAGCTACTGTTAGTTTCTGATGTTCGCGTAGTTTAGTTATTTGCCAACTCTCCAGGATAAAACTTTATGCAATATTATTAGTAAATGTTTTAAACTTTAGGGTAAACAAGAAATTTAGTATCAACAGATGATCACAATGTATTTACCACCTCTGGTGCAATTAATGAGGAAAAAGGATAGAGGAATCAGACCGATTGCTGTGGGCAATTCACTCCGGCGCCTCGTTGCTAAGGCTGCTGCTAGAACAGTTAGCCAGGCAGCAGCAGATACGGTGAAGCCAAAACAGCTCGGGTTCGGCATTCCCCAAGAGTGTGAGGCAGCGGCTCATGCAGCTAGAGCCTACACTGCCAACATTGCAGATGGAAAAGCCCTGATAAAACTGGATTTCAAAAATGCTTTCAATCTGTTAAGAAGGGATGCAGTACTCAGTGCGGTTCAGCACTGCATGATGCTACAAGGATTGGATTCGAACCTGGTTGGCGAGTGTTGGGAACCCAAGAATACAAATGAGCCATCAAAATATGCATGTTTGCTAAACAGCTGAAAAACACTAGGGAAGATATAGACATCATGGGAGTGGGGGGGGGGGAAGTGGGTCGAGATGGGAGCCGACCTTTCTTAAAAATTGGGTAATGGGGCCGAATTAGACCCCAAATAAGTATTCTTCTAGCCCTCCCCCTCCCACCAGTCAATCTGCAAAGTTTAACCGGGCAAATTCCAAGAGTCTGGCTTCCAACCACGTACAGACAAACTCCTGCCAGCTTTCTCCCTAACTTTGGACATGAGTGAAACGAAATCGACCCAATGAGATCGTGGAGATGTAAGCAAGAAGATAACGTACCTAATCTCATATGTGTCTTGAAATAAACTGGAGAGTCAACTATATTTAATAAGCAAAGACCGCTGGAGGGACACACACACACACACACACACACACACACACACACACACACACACACACACACACACACACACACACACACACACACACACACACACACACACACACACACACACACACACACACACACACACACACACACACACACACACACACACAGAGCCAGCAACACCAGAGAGCGACGCCACAGTCACTCTTGAATGTAAGTCGACCGATATGGCTGTGTGATGCGTCTCATCCCAAGGTCTTGGAGGAGTGGCCCCCTCTAAGTGCTACCATCTTCCCGCTGGCGTCTTCAAGGCCTGACAATGCAGCCTCAACTCTTCCCCCTCCCCCCCCACACTGCATTCTCATTCCCGAACCCACCCTATTTCTTCTGTACACTGTTCTCACCCTTGTTATACCTTCTCCTCAGACTCACACTACTCTGTAAGATTCTCTACCTTCTCCTTTCGCAGCTTCCCCTCGATCTTTACACCCAATCTTCCCCTCGTTTTCCCCACTCCCTCTTCCTCCACACGCCCTGTCACCTCGTCCTCTCCGTCCGCCCCTTCCCCTTGTCCTCCCTCCCCTATCCCTCCTCCACCCCCTTTTCCACGTCGTCCCTTCACTTTCTCCTCCTCCCCTACTCCCTCTCCCCATCCCCCTCTCCCCCCCATCCTCCTTCTACCCCTTTCCTCTCTCCCCCTCTCTTAATCTTATCCCTACTTAGCCCTGCTTCCCTTATATAAAATATAACATTAGGGAACAATTAACTATTGTATGTGTTTAAGGATTTTTTTTTATTAATACATTAGGTACATCTGCATTTGTGCTGCTGCCTTAGATTATATGAAGGGGAGTACAATGTGTGTCAAAACGCTAGCTAGCTACGTGGTGCTAAAAAAAGCCCTATCACACACGATGGTTAGTCATACGGAGGCATGTGATAAGTAATTTGCACTGGTGGACTCTGGGTGCATTATGAGGATATCATGAACACAAGAGTGAATAAGATAGCAGTGGTACTATTGGTCATCCATCTCGCAGGATGGTTAGTCATACTAACTAATGACTAACTTAGTCATACTTTTCTGATGAAAAACTCTTCGGGGGATCTCAACTAATATTTCACACTTGATTGGAAATGAATTGAGAGACTCGGAAGGTGGGTGTGAATGATTAGTAATATTTCTTAAATCATTCAACTTAGGCCTACCCTGACTAGCCTATGTCCGTCCCGTATCCCAGACCATTTCCCTTACAAATTTGTGTATTTGTACACACACACACACACACACACACACACACACACACACACACACACACACACACACACACACACACACACACACACACACACACACACACACACACACACACACACACACACACACACACACACACACACACACACACACACACACACACACACACACACACACACACACATATATATATATATATATATATATATATATATATATATATTGGTTATTCTTTTGACTGCAAATTACAGATTTTAAAATTTGATTAACAAATTTGTCAATTATTGTCCAACGTGTATATAGCAAATAAATCTTAATATGTCCACATTCCGTCTGTAACAAAGTTATAATCGAGGAATATTATCTTTCTCTCCACAGGACTGACGAGTTCCCTAAATCTTCCAAGTCTACGATGTATATCAAGTGCTTGAAGAACACTGGAGGAGGCTGGCTGTTGTCCTTGCTTGCCATATCTCTACTTCGGCGGGCGGCGGGACAGTCACGTCAGGAGACTGAACACCGAGTCCGCCTGCCTCTCTGCTGCCCCAGCGGGTACATCTCACCCACAGCCGATACCTGCATTTACAATCCTATAATTCCCTTCAGACCGCAAGTCATCATTGGGGATTCGCTTGTGTCCGTCACGAACATAGAGGAGGAGGCTGAAGGGACAACCCTACCTTGTGACCACCATGACGGCGAAGCGGGCTACGAGTACGTCTCACTAGACAGTGTTCGGAGTACGCTGATCCAGAAGACTAATGGCACGCTTACGCTCCTCTGGCTTCCCCAAGACGCTATGTTGTTCGAGCAGAGCCAGAATTTTTGCGTGATGATGACGCACGAAGGCTCTTCACCCGACGAGGTGCAAGCGTCTTACTGGGCCAAGGTCTGTCCCAAGGACCATGCCGCTCAGTGGGAGAGCGACAAGCTGGCCTGCACTAAAGCCTCATGTGTTCGCAAGTGCTGCCCAGCTGGCCAACATTTTAGAAACCAGAGAATTTGCTCGCCGGACGATGACAGTCAAGACTGGGCCATGCCGTCGCCGTTTTCAGACTTGCATGTTGTTTATGGCTTGCCCAATTGTAAGAATCTTCTGTTGTACCCTGATTTCGAGTATAGTCTATTGAGATCTGGGTACATGGACGTCTCAGAAATGCTTTTCTCGCCCCAAGAGTATTGCATTGAGAACAATGAAGACACCCAGGAACAGCGGGTGGAGCAGAGGGCTCTGGTGTGCCACAAGCCACGACCCGAGTGCCCGTGGAAACAGAATGTGGTGATTCCAACGTTGATGGGCGTATCGTGTGCCTGCCTGGCTCTCACCTGGGTGGTGTACGTCCTGGTGCCACACCTGAGGAACACCAACATGGGGCGCTGTCTCCTCTCCTTCGTCAGCGCCATGTTCGTGGCCTTCTTGACCATCTTAATTAATCAAGTCGGTCGTGACTCGTTCTCACCCGCCCAGTGTACCCTGACAGGTAGGTAATTAGCTCTTTCCTGGAAATGTCATTGGCGTTTATGATGTTATTAAGGCCATTATCAATATAATTAAGCTGTATAATATTTAACATTAGAATGTATTATTAGATACCCTGGTGTATATTCGAGCCAGTTGAACATTGTTAAACAGCCTAGACCCTAGAGGTTATATATTAGAAAGCAAAGCGAATATTTATAGAAAGCTTTAAGCGTGCATGCTAATGATTTCAATTTCTAACAGGTGTAACAATGTACATGTTCTCAATACAGTAGATTGAAAAAAATGTTCCTATTCTGATGTTTGAGTTCTTCTAAGTCTACTCGTGTTCTCTCGCCTCATCTACGATCCTCCTGTTACTCAATCTACCTTCCTGTCTCTCACCGCAGCTACACTTTATCTCTCACGTCCGGTATCTACCTTTCCTCCCCGTGTTTAGAAACCAGTTTAGTATCAGAAAGTTTTCAGTATCTCCATCTCTTCTCCCTCCCTCATCTCCACCAAACATCACAACTTCAGTCTTTACCATTTACTCCGATTCCTTTCCCCCATCATTCTATCTCTGTCTTATCACACCTCATACTTCTGTCTACTCTCGTTTTATCAATCCACTTTCTATCACTCATGTCCTCTCGCTCTACATACACATATTCGCTTAACAGTGTCACACTTAGGTCAATCAATCAAACTGCCTCGTCATATGTAGTAACTTTCCCCTTTTGAGCACTATCTACTCTACGGCTATCTATATCTACAACTTTCCCATCCTTCCATCGGATAGCTTACACACATCTAATTAAATTCTCACAATCAACCCCTTCCCCCCCTCCCATCTGATTGGTTCAGATGCAGCCCAATAGGTTCCGTTGTTGCTATAATAAACTCGTCTTTTCTCAGGCCATGCATATGTATTTCTCCATCTACCTTTCTTCTTAAACTACATCTACCCTCTTCCTTACATCTATCTACCCTGTACTTGATATTAACGTGATCTCTCCAGTGTCATCAGTCTCTCAGCTGAACATCTTCCCCATCAATTTATACTTGTCTTCTGTTCATTCCAGCGTTGCTGAGTCTCGTCAGCATCCTTGCTATGTTCTTCTGGCTCAATGTTATGAGTTTACACATCTTCTTTCATCTCAGGTGAGTAACACAAAGCGGTGAAAATAGTGCTTATAAAGTTGATCGCCTGAGGTGTTCATTCATTCTGAGGTGTTCATCCTTAGGTGTTTAATTCTTAAACATTCTTCAGTCATATCACTGGATGTTCGGAACCGTTGCTTGCTTGGTCCTGTGACTGATAAATTGTTACTCCTTGTTTCCGGCTATCGGAACTGGCCAGGTCCCCGGCGAAGGAAGATCAGCAGAAGATGAGAACCTTCCTCATGTACAGTCTGTACGCCTGGGGGTGCCCGCTCCTCATCACACTCATCGGCCTCACCCTCGACTCCCTCCAAGCTGATGCCATACGCCTGCATTTCCATCTCCCAAACTGCTGGTTTAAGGGTAAAATTCCAATGTGTTGTCCACATCTAAAATTCAAACAATTCCAATGCGTAAACCTTCATTCATATTCTTCACAAGCACTAAATTGGGCTTCACAATCACTAAATTGAGCTTCACAAGCACTAAATTGAGCTTCACAAGCACTAAATTGAGCTTCACAAGCACTAAATTGGGCTTCACAAGCACTAAAAACTTCTATCTTCCAGACGAGGCAGGGCGCTGGGCCTACCAGTATGGCATCATAGTGGCACTAGTCGCTATAAACACCTTCTTCTTTGTGAGCTCAGTCCTCTTACTGAGGAAGAGACAGAGACAAAGGCGAGAAACTGGTTATTATCAGACCATAAGGTAAGCTGCGTGCTGGGGAGACCTACTTAAAATAGCTACAAAAATTCAGGAGGAAAACGCATTTTCCTCCTGAAATTTATAATATATATATATATATATATATATATATATATATATATATATATATATCTCACTCTGGAACAGTGAGAATGTCAGTAACTATGAAAGAGTTCATTTATCAGAGTGAAGTGCGGCGCTGAATAAACTAGAACAGTGCATAATTAACAGTGAATAATTAACAGTGCATAATTAACAGTGAATAACGATAACTCTGTGTCACTGCAAATAATGAAGACTCAATGAACTCCCTGAAGGTTAGACTCTTCATTGGAATAAACAGAGTTCCAACGTTTAAAGACTCTTGTAGGCGATGTACTAATCTCAATACACTAACATGTTGTCAAAATCTTTTTCTCTAGAGTAATAAATGATAACATACAATTATCAACATAACCCCATTTGTGATATTAATTGATTCTAGAAAAAAATATCTAAAAGAGACGAAATCAAAGTGCATTTTAATCGCGAAAGATAAATGTTGACGATAAGGGATAAGATGATATTAGATGAGGTCCATTGTATTGATGAACTTTCTTTCTGTCGGCAGTGCGTGGGTATTCATCAAACTCTTCATCATCGCCGGCGTCTTGTGGATCACAGAGGTCATAGCCTGGCAGATTACCAATCAGTGCAGCATCTTGTAAGTTGTCCAGATCATCTGTCACTCAGACTTGTGATGTATTGAGTGGTTAAAGGGGCTGTTGTGTCTACCTGTCTAATGGGGCTGTTGTGTCTACCTGTCTATTGGGGCTGTTGTGTTACGTGGCTAATGGGGCTGTTTACCTGGTTAGTGCAGCTGTTGTTCTCTTGTTAATGGGGCTGTTGTGTTACCTGTCTAATAGGGTATTTGTTGTGTCAGACTGTCTGGGGGAGGGAGGGGAAGTGCTGTTATGATGGATCGTGTCTGGGAAGACAAAGTCTGTCTATATCAAGCATAGTCAATTTTGTGTAAGTTATCACGCTGTCTATAATGACGAAAGTAAGAATGACGGGGTAAATAGCTGGCCCGTCTATAATGTATTATATATTTATGTATAATATATAAATGTATTTATATATTATATAAAATCTCATATTTCACGAAAGAAAAAAAAAACAGTGAAAATTAATGTCCTGTCACGAGTAAATAGTCATGTATATTTATTTGTGTCATCAAACCGGTTAGACGAGTTAGCCGGTTAGACGAGTTTGCCGGGTAAACGAGTTAATATATCAGTTCTGGGAATCGTTTGAATGAGGTCATAGACAGCATATATCGTACAGATCACTGGCTGGTGGCATCTTACTGCGACTGTTTTCTGTTTTTCTTATTAGATTTACAAAAAAATCTAGATATTATATACATGTTACAGCTTAAGATATGCAACATCTTATCATTCTGATTTAATACATTGTTCTAATTATGATTTAGTAAAGTTTTAAATGCAAATTCATGAATAAGTAGAGAGTAAGTTTTTTTTTTTATTAATTCAGAAAGGATGACACAGACGTTGATCAGTTCAGTGAATAGTTGTCATCAATGTTGATTCACCAATTCATCTGATGCTATACTTGTGTGTGTGAGGGAAATGTCAATCATTTCTAAATGTAATGGTGACCTCACCCTCCATCACCCGTGATCTCATATGTAGGCGATGAGTCACAATAACGAGGCTGAAGTAGTTTGACCAGACCACACACTAGAAGGTGAAAGGGACAACGACGTTTCGGTCCGTCCTGGACCATTCTCGCGTCGATCGACTTGAGAATGATCCAGGACGGACCGTAAACGTCCTCGTCCCCTTCACCTTCTACCGTGATCTCATCCTCCAGGCGGCCTTTAGACATTCATGGTCTCATTCTCTGGTCAACAGGGTGGTGATCCTGGACATTATAAACAGTCTTCAGGGCGTCTACATCTTTTTAGTGGCTGTCTGTCTCAGGAAGGATCTTAAGGTAAGAAAGATCTCAGTGTAAACATCTCAACGACTCAAGAAATTGCAAG